CAACGGGCTGGGTAGCTGGAACTGACCCCTGAGCTGAACCCCTGGGGGTGCTGCAGTATCCCAGCAAAACTCTAAATCCCAGCACGCCCCCCACAACCTACCCACAGACCCACTCTCTCCTGCCCCCTGAAGTACTCACCAGCCCCTTGCTGGGAGTAGCGCTCCTGCAGGCTGCCTTACTCTCTGTCCCTCCTCCCCTCAGACAGCCCCGCCCCTGCCAGACCAGCAAATTTTGATATTTTTTTAAGCACACAGCTGGGCCACATGTGGCCCACAGGCTGAGAACCGCTGATATAGCATGTATTGCCCACATACTACATGTACTGTTATTATTAGAACATCTATTAAATAGGTGTTTTGTTAAATTTTGTGGTCCCTTGCTATGTTGTAAACAATTTAGTAAGAGAGACCAAATAAATCTTTTAATTTTGCTTGGCTTAGCCTTGTCAGCTGAGCCTTTGAACTGTCTTCTTTTTTAAAATGGTTTTACATGCCTGACATTATCCTTTTGTAAATTGCAAATTATAAGCAAATACCATTTAATTTTCTTAAATATAAAAATTGAAGTTTAAAAATTAACAAGTTAAAAAAAACAAAAACAAGTGAGCACATTTTGGCTTGCGCCCTGATAACTGCAATGTTTTATTTTACTGCTGTCTTTAACGCCCTTATTTTAATTCTGTGGCTCGGCTAGCAGAAGCTTTAGTAAGCTGATTGCTACACTGAAATATGTGACAGGCAGTATTTTTTTTTAAACTTACTAGGTGTTCCCTTCCCACCCCCTTTTTTTTTGCTTTTAGTTATTTTTTTTACAACTGTACCCAGGTTACACCTCCCCGCCCCCATAGTATATTCGGAAGCAGTTAATCCATATTGGAAATTTCAGTGGCATTCAAAGGATCTCAGCAGATCATAACCTTTTCCTTACAAGGCATGCTTTAGATGTAAGATCACAATCAAGGTATAGAATGTCACACTGCGTCATGGCACCAGTATGTTGGAGTAGCCTCTGAGACCTTTTCCACTCGGGAGTCTGTTGGGGTGAATTCTGAAAATTTATGTACTCAGTAGCCTCCCAGACCTAATCACCGAGGTTTCTTTATTAGCATATACTCAAACTACACTTGAGTTAATCAGGCTAAGTGTAGGGGGTAAGTACAGGGCATACCACACCTCCAAAGTTACAAAACAAACTTCTTCCACACTTCCACATTACACTGCATTTACTATACCTTGCATTACACGTTTTGGGACTGGCTTGGTTACTTTGTAGGAACCAATCCCTGTACAGCGTGCTCCGTCCATGCACAATTTACTCTTTACCTCATTTATATTCCAGGCTTATTTTATCCATTGTTATCTTGTCCATTGTAAATGATGTTCCCTCTTATCTTAGCTACTACAGATATTCTATGTCCAGCCTCCTGAGCTCTCAAAACTAGGTGACTGGGCAACAAAATGGCAGATGAAATTTAGTGTTGATAAATGCAAAGTAATGCACACTGGAAAACATAATCCCAACTATACTATAAAATCATGGGATCTAAATTAGCGGTTACCACTCAAGAAAGAGATCTTGGCGTCATTGTGGATAGTTCTCTGAAAACGGCCACTCAATGTGCAGCGGCAATCAAAAAAGCAAACAGAATGTTGGGAATCATCAAGAAAGCAATAAATGATAAGACAGAAAATATCATATTGCCTCTATATAAATCCATGGTACCTTGAATACTGCGTGCAGATGTGGTCACCCCATCTCAAAAAAGATATATTGGAATTGGAAAAGGTTCAGAAAAGGGCAACAAAAATTATTAGGGGTATGGAACGGCTGCCGTATGAGGAGAGATTAATAAGACTGGGATTTTTCAGCTTGGAAAAGAGACGACTAAGGGGGGATATGATCGAGGTCTATAAAATCGTGACTGGTGTGGAGAAAGTAAATAAGGAATTGCTATTTACTCATTCTCATAAAACAAGAACTAGGGGTCATCAAATGAAATTAATAGGCAGCAGGTTTAAAACAAACAAAAGGAAGTATTTCTTAACATAACGCACAGTCAACCTGTTGAACTGTTTGCCAGAGGATGTTGTGAAAGCCAAGACTATAACAGAGTTCAAAAAAGAACTAGATAAATTCATAGAGGATAGTCTATCAATGGCTATTAGCCATGATGGGCAGGGATGGTGTCCCTACCCTCAGTTTGCCAGAAGCTGGGAATGAGCGACAGGGAAAGGATCACTCAATGATTACCTGTTCATTCCCTCTGGGGCACCTGGTATTGGCCACTGTCGGAATACAAGATACTGAGCTAGATTGACCTTTGGTCTGACCGAGTATGGCCATTCTTATGCTCTAATCCTATAGAACACTTTAAGAGAAAAACTCAAATCAAAATGGATCCAGAAAATGACCGTGACAAAACTGGGTTTTGCACAGTCACTGATTCCCATTGCAACTTGATGCATATGTATCTGATTTATATCAATTTATTCACAAATACCAGAATGGGATGCTGATGTGTTAAAGAGACTAAACAAGCAGTATTCTTGGTGCACCACTTGCATTTTGAAGAATTTTGATGTTAGCCTTTTCACATACGCAGCAAGCCACAACCTTTTGTTTTAGGGCCAACTCTGCTTTATCAGCATGTACACCTTGCAGGTGCATACTGGTGACTGGGAAGATTGCACATAAGTCATTTTGGGGCTTTGTAAATGGACAGAGATTTGATGTAACATAGTTTAAACAATGAAAATTTCCTGCTTTGTGAATAAAGGGGAATATAGAGAATATAGAATTTTAGTGAATTAAGCAAGAAAGGATGTAAATTATATTAGATACATCATAGCCCCCACCTAACAAATAAAATTCAAATAATCTAACTACAAAATAGATAACTAAGATCCATCTATATTTCCATAGCAACCTATTCCTGTAGAAAATGTATCATTGCGTTAGGGCTTATTTTAGATATCTTATGTTAAGACACCGTAATATTTGTGTAGTACATCTAAAGATTTCCTGAAGATAAATCACTTGTCAGTGTGTATTTCTTTTACTATTTACAGTTTATAATCCCAAAATTCATTAATTTAATTAGGAAAATGGGTACTTAGTTTTGTACAAGTCAAATACATTAAACTAGAACCAGTTAAAAATGTGGTAACAACTGTTGTATATACAAATCTCATAGCTGACCTTAAAAAAAATGCTGTCATTCTTCCTGATGAATTCGTTGCTTTATTTTTAAAGCAATACTAGTAGGCAGAAATATCTGTCCTTAACACAGATAGAAGGTGGTCCCTTTTGTACAGACACAGTGAAGCAACATATGATAAACATATAAGAAATTCACATTAGACCAGACATCCACCATAAAATATGAGGCATTGATTTACCAGCCAAAACCATACAATTTCAACAGGCATACTGGGACCAATGGCTTTTGAAATTAGTAGCAAGTGACTTACCTTTGTGCTGATCAAACACCGATGAGGTACTAAAATCCATTGTAGTCTATCTCATTATTTACTGTTAGACCAGGCAAATACCATCTCTGTGGTTTCCAGGGAAGAATCCCATATATTATAGTAAACAATATATGCAATGATAGCTGTCACCAATCTTCTTGTTTGATAATTAAATTTGCTTTACGGCTGCAGATTGTTGTCAAGGCAAAGACATTGTCACTCACATAATGAGAATGGTATATTCTGTTAGTTAAGGACCCTGTTAAAAAGACGTCTCCAGAAATTATCTAATTGAGCTTTTAGGTCTTGAAAAAACACTAGCTTAAGAGGGCAAGCTGTCTATGATCAGGCCTGAGAAAGACACTGCAGATCACCCAGCATCAGCAACAAGAATGCTGGCTTTAAACAAACAGAAATCTCAATGAGTGAATGAGGATTCACTATGGCAAACAGAGCATGTGCAAAACTGCCAATGCAATTTGGATGCTGGATGTACTCATTTTAGAAACCAAACGGCATATGCTGTGTTCACAGACAATGCTGTCTTAATTGACTATTATATAAATATTGTAGTAGGCATACATTCTGTAGTTTATTAATTAATCAGCCACCCACCTATTTAACTGAGTGAGTTTTGAATAGCATGAAGAACATAAATAAAAGGGAGTGACGTTTATTGCTGTATTTACTAGATAAGGTTTAAAAGTTCAATATAACTGTTCTCAGTAACTACAGTCAGTTGCAATAGAAGTCCTTTTTAATGTAAACATGTTTGGTGTGTTTTAGGCAGTGTTTTAATGAGATATTCCAATGCAACTTGTAATATACACATTTTATATTTACTCTCCTAGTCCTATGTCCAAGCCAAAGGAGAGGGAGTCCAGTTGTAGGCCTGTTACTCTGACATCAGTTCTGGGCAAGATAATGGAGAGGCTGATATGGGACTTGATTAATAAAGAATTTAAATGAGGGTAATATAATTAGTACTAATACACAAGGACTATGGAAAGTAGACCCCATCAAACTAACTTGATACTTTCTTTGAAGAGATTACAATGTAAACGTGTTGATATAATATATTTAGACTTCTGTAAGCTATTTGACTTGATACTACACGTTTTGATTAAAAAAACCTAGATAGATATAAAATTAACATGGCACATATTAAATAGATTAAAATCTGGAAAGGTCTCAAAATGTAATTGTAAACAGGGAATCATCATTGAACAGTGTTTCTAGTGGAATCCCACTGGGATTTGTTCTTGGTCTTACATTATTTAGCCTTTTTATTAATGATTTGGAAGAAAACACAAAATCATCACTGACAAAAATTGGGGGAATGGTAAATAATGAAGAGGACAAGTCACTCATACAGAGTGTTCTGGATGACACGGTAAGATGGCCACAAACAAACTACGCATTTTAATATGGCTAAATATAAAGATATATATTTAGGTACAAAGAATGTAAGCCCTACTTACAGGATGGGGGACTCTATTCTGGGAAGCAGTGATTTAAAAGGTTTGGAGGTTGTGGGGGATGAACATGAGCTCCCAGTGTGATTCTTTGGTCAAAAGGGCTAATGTGATCTTGGGAGGCATAAACAAGGGGAATCTCAAGTAGGGGGAGAGAGGTTATTTTACCTCTGTATTTGGCACAGGTGCAACCACTGCTGGAATACTGTGTTCAGTTCTGGTGTCCACAATTCAAGAAGGATATTAATAAATTTGAGAGGGTTCAGAGAAGAGCCCTGAGCATGTGTAAAGGATTAGAAAACAAGTCTATTACTAAAAGGTTTAAGGAGCTCAATCTGTTTAGCTTAACAAAGAGAAGGGGTGACTTGATTATAGTCTATAAATATCTCCAGGGGGAACAAATATTTAATAAATATTCTCTAGGAGAGAAAGGTATAACTTGCTCAAATCGCTGGAAGTTGAAGCTAGACAATTCAGACTGGAAATAAGGCATATATTTTTTAAAAGTGTGTTGCGGGTCATACATGCCCCATCCATTTTTGGGATGGGGCACGGGGTCATTAGAGGCCCGTGGACAAGTCTGCGCAACCCCTCTTGTCTCAGAGTGATGTGTCCTAACAGCCAAAGTCACTCTATGTGTCCTCTCTATCAGGGCTGTGCAGCCTAGCAGCCAGGGTGGGCGGCGGCCAGGATAGGGGGTGCCAAGCCAGGGCCCTGTCGGTGGTGGGGTTGCCCACCACCAGCTCGGTGGGGATCCAGCCAAAATACACCAAGCTGGTTTCAAACCACCTCCCTGCAAAGCCTCCCTGGGTTACTTCCTATCCACTTCTCTGCAGCTTGTGGTCTCATGGTCCCCCTGGGCTCTCCTCCCTCTGTGGCATTTGGAACCTGGACATCCTGGGTCGCTGCAATCTGGCTGGCCTCTGCGTCGTGGAGTGTGAGCGATCCTTCAGCAGGAGTCTACAGCACACCTCCTTCCTCTCTGGTGGTCAGCCCCAAATGAACTGGGCGGCTCCCTTTTATACCTGCCCTCCAGCCAGAGCATACCTAGCAGGGTCAAAGGGGCGGCGCCTCCTTGGCCCAAAGAGAAGAATTAACCCCTGCAGTCCCAGTGTGTTCTCTGTCACACAGTGAGGCTATGGCTACATGGTGCTTTACAGCACTGCAACTTTCTAGCTCAGGGGTGTGAAAAAACACCTCTCTGAGCGCAGCAAGTTACAGCGCTGTAAAGCTCCAGTGTAAACAGTGCCCCAGTGCTGTAAGCTAATCTCCTCGGGGAGATGGAGTACCTGCAGCGCTGGGAGAGCTCTCTCCCAGAGCTGGCACTGCAACCACACTCGCACTTCAAAGCGCTGCTACGGGAGCACTCCCGCAGCAGCGCTTTGGAGTTTCGAGTATAGCCATGCCCTAAGGGTAATTGGAATAGCTTACCAAAGGTCATGGGGAATCTGCCATCACTGACAATATTTAAACCAAGAGTGGATGTTTTTTCTAAACGATATGCCCTAGGAATTATTTTGTGGAAGTTCTAAGGCCTGTGTTATATATTTTTCTGCAGGACCTGTGCCTGGCTGCCTCCTTCAGTGTGCAGGTTGGTCTCTGTGCAATGTATGAGACAAAAGCCCTTCAGATCATTGCATTACACTGGTCAATGTCTAGTTACAATTACCACTGTGTAAGTATGATCAAATGGATTTACTTTGAATTTACTTTGGCCTCATGAGAACACAATTGGCCCAGCAAAGGACAGAGAGTTGTGGTTGATGCAGGAACCTATTCAGTGAACAGCAAGGGCAAAAATAAGTTCACTGAGCACCTTCTAACCTGTACAATGAATGAGTTAGGGGTCCTACTCAATTAAAAAGCTGAGCAGTGCTGACACAGGGGATAGGGAAAAGCTGTCAGAAAGCCAAATCTAGTTCCCTGATTCTCCATCAACCCTGTTCTGGTATGTCTCAGAGCAGAGGTGGAAAAAGGGGTTTTTGTTTTTGCCGGTGGGTACTTTTGAAGAGATGTGTATATTTGAGAGGGATACTCTGCCAGTTTGGGGGAGGGGAGGCTATTTTCAGCATATTTAGACACTTCTTTCATATTCTAGTTATTAAATGTCTATCATTGATATTTTAATAATGATTAAATTGTTATGAACTACATAATTACATTATCATGAATTACAGTATATTAAAATCATTGCAATCACCTACAAGGGGTCTTCACTAACATCCCAGTTTAAAGACATTGTGTCTCACTGTAGCTTTCTGGATGATACTGTCAGCAATCTTATTTACATCCAGTTCCCTGGTATTATCTTGATGCATGTTAAGGACAGCTACATTATTCAGTTGCGTCTGTCCCATCGATGACTGAAGATAATTTTTACATCTTCTGAAGTTAGTGAATGAGTTCAGGATGATATGGGCACAATGAGAAGGATTCTTATAAATTTGCAGTATCTTGGAAGCATTGTGCTTCCAGAAAAAGAAGAACAGGAGTACTTGTGGCACCTTAGAGCCTAACAAATTTATTAGAGCATAAGCTTTCATGGACTA